ACTGTGTTTGGTGTGATATGCAGCTCAGATGCCAGAAGACATTGCCATTTGTAGCGGAAAGAGCACCTAAACAGCACCCCAAAGACCTGGGTTCTCATCAGAGCTCTACCATTTACTAGCCATGTCATTTTGGACTAGTCACTTCCCCTCTCTGACCTTCTTCAGCTTTCTCAACTACAAAATGGAGGGGTTGGCCTAGAATCTAGATTCTAAACGATCTTCAAAATCTCTTTTCAGTCACTGTTCATCTCCCGTCCTAAATGATTATCTCTTGTTTCAAGTCAGGGACTCTCCAAGGCAGGAGCTCTGTCTTCCCCATCCAAAGAGCTTCACAATCAGCGACTGTCTTGAAGAGGGAAGCCAAGGAGCTCAGAAAGAGAAACAAAATTCCCCACATTGCCAGCTGCCAATTCCCAACTTGGGACCCAGAGGCAGGTCATAGAGAACCAAGCTGTCCCTTTATGAGCTCTCTGCCTCTCCTTGCACACAGGTCCTCCATCCCACCTCAACCCAGCTTCTAAAGATATGCAACTGTGGCTCCTTTGCACATTCCATCAGAACTACAAATATCCATCCAGGTCTATCCAGAGAGGCACTGGAAGGAGGGTGTGAGGAATAAATGGTTTTGTGAAACTTTACTCCCCTCACTGAACTCCACCTCAGAGCCCACCCTGTCCCCGACGCTTTCCCCCTACCCCCACTTTCTAACACAGAGTCTGTCTCCCCCAGGCTAGATCACCCTGGCAGGTGAGCTATAAAGAGGAAAAATGAACAAGTCAGCAAATTTGGCCTTCGGTTTATCTAGGCTGGAATACTAAGGGTAACTCAATCCTGGGACTCTGAAGCATCTTCACCTGTGAGGAAAGAATCTGAAGTCTTCTCTATCTCGTGATTTGAGGGACTCTAGAGAGCCCCCCAAATCCTCTCCCACCAGCCTACCCAATCTCCCAAATCTCACGTATGGTTTTGTGGTATTTTCATGTTAGAGCTGATCAGGACCTTATAAGATTACATAGTAAAACCCTTTCATTTTACAGATGCAGACGGAAGCTGGGGCCCAGAAAAGGGAAGTCACATGCCCAAAGTCACACAAGTAGCAGCTGAACCAAGACAGCTCTTTGGTTTTCATTTCTTTTACTGTAAAATGAGGGAGGTTAGATTAGATGGACTCTGAAGGCCCTGCCAGCCTCTGCTCTGCACAAATAAAACCACCACCACATCTGTGGAGTGTCTAGTGCCGGGCACTGCATACTTTTCTTCTTTAATTTTCACAACAAAGCTATGGTACAGATAGTGTTGATGCCATGCCTATGTTTATACCCAGTCTATCCAAGTAGGTTGATTGGTAACATCATTTGTTCCTACGTAAAATAGCAACCCGACTGCTGGCTGCCATTCTGCCACTCACATCATTTCCTTGGGTCTCAGGCCCTTTCAGCCTTTTAGAGGCTCCTGCTGAGATGCCAGTACCCTGGGGAAAGGGGATGTTTTAGACTGCACTGTTAGCTGGTCCCTGAGCAGCAGCTCATGTGTTGAACTGAGGTTTCTCATGAAGTCACCCAGATGAGACATTGTGAATCTGGAGTCGGGGCACAGCAATCAGATGTCCCTTGGCCATGGCACAGTTCCTATAACTGCAACCCTAGGTTGGCCTGATCCAGCTGCTGCAGGAAGGGGAGGGGAAGCGGCAGGGTGTCAGCACCCAAAGTACAGCTATTGCACAACCCTTGGGGCTTGGCCTCCGGCGATCCACACTCGTTCTGAAGTTTTTTCTGTGTGTCTAGTTCCTTCTTTTTCTGTCCCCTTCCCACTCAGCTCTGGGCGTTCCCAGCTCCCAAAGTCAATATTGAGACCCCAGATGTGTCCAGGGACATCCTGAAGACATGTCAGGACATCCTGAGGGGCTGAGGAGCCTTAGGGCGCCCACAGGGAGATTCCTGGAGCCGACTAGGAGCCAGTGAATTTGCTGTTGTTTGGTGAGTCTTCCAGATGGAGGTAGCCCTCCGTCTGCCTTGTCAGTTCAAACCCCCATGCAAGGCTATCTAAGAAAACTGGTGACAGTGACTGCCCTGGGAAAGAAACCTGGGCCATTGGGAACAGAGAGATTGCATTTTCATTGTACGTACTCCTTCAATTTCTTTTTTTTTTGCTGTGTATATGTATTTACTTCTCAAAAATGAAAAACAGATTTTCATTTTAATGAAAACTGTGTTTTTTATTAAAATGTATTTTAAAAATCCTCTTCACTATAATAAAAGTATATGCTCAAGCAAGCCTGGGGCAGGGGGCAGAGCAGAGATAATAATCTTTTTTTTTTCCTTTTTAATTAAAAAAATTAAAAAAAAATTTTTAATGTGGTAAAAAGCAACATAAAATTTATTGTCTTAACATTTTTAATGGTACATCTCAGTAGTGTTAACTATCTTTACATTGTTATGCAGCAGATCTCTAGACGTTTTTCATCTTGCAAAACTGAAACTCTGTACCCATTGAACAACAACTCCTGGTGATAATCTTTTTTGATAGATGAGGAAACTGAAGTGCAAACAGGGCGAGAAACTTATTTCCCTCAAAGTGAGCTCTTCCCGCACTTATGCCATCTGTCTGTTGTCTGCTTATAAAACTGTCTGAGGCCCCTTCCTCCTGCAACCACTGCCTTAGCCATTCCCACCCCCAAATGCCTCTCACATCCTCTATCTGTCCCCGCCCCCACCTTGTCATCCCCTCTGCCCCAGCTCAGGACTCAGCACCTTGAACCCACACTATTTCACTTATCACTGGGCTCCCTACCTCCATCCCTGCCCTCTTTATTCCACACTCCACATAGAAGCCAGAGTGTCCTTTCCAAGCACAGATCTGATTATTTTACCCCCTTTTAAAATATCATTGCATGGTTTTTCTCCACCTACAGGATAAAGTTCCAACTCTGCAGCCTGGCACTCAAGGCCCCCTATGATCTGCTTTGGGCCAATGTCTCCATCCCACATCCTATCTTATCCTTTCACGCATCTTATGCTCTTTATGCTACTTTCCATTCTTCAAAGTGTGATTTCTAGTCCATCTGTTTGCTTCCCTTGCCTTCTCTACTTCCAAAAAGTCCTTCAAGGTCCAACTCAAATTCTTCCATCACCGTGAACACTCTCTGAGCACTGGTCAGAATTCATCCCTTCTTCCTTTAAGCCCCAGTAGCTCCTACATTGTCTCCCACATTAAGAGCTGGCGATGTGCCCCTGAGTGTAGGGACTGGCCTCCTAGAGCTCCCAGAATAAGGCTGCCCAGGAGTGGGCCTCCATAAACGATGACTGGCCAGGTGATTCATTGAGCCATTAATTTCATTGTGCTGCTCCCGCTTTCCATTAGCCCATATGAGGAAAGAGGAAGGCACAGATTTGTTGCCTGACAAGTGGGATAGTAGATGAGAACCTATGCCTCCTGGATCTTAACTCTTCCCCTTTTCCATCCAGACGAGGTTGCCCAAGTACTAGATGGCAGGGGGCCCCAAGGCCTTGCATAAAATGTGGGCCAGTCCTGGGTTATTGCTGTATTATTTTGATTCTTCCCCCCCCAAATTTTGCATTCATAGAGTTCTTCATGAATATTTATCATGGTCATATCTAACTGTCATCTTTTCCGGGGAAGAGACGTGATGGTTAATAGTCAAGTTAAACAGCTCTACCTAGATAAAGGAGGGCTTTGGAACCAGTCAGCGAACACTGAGTGACTGGCCTATAGAGAAATCCAAAGTGGCCATCTTTACTGGAGACCACTGAGGGAAGGAGAACTAGGGTAGTCCCCTAGACTTGGAGGAGAGACACAGCCTGGCTGACCAGGAGCATGTGGTCTGCTGATAACCCTTATCAATAGCAAGAGGACAGCCACACATTGCCTTATATGTAAGTGCTGGCTCAAAGGGAAGGCTGCGATGATAAAGCTTGTGGAGTATGTTGCGAGCACACAAAGGCTTCCTGAAGGAAGTGAGCATGGAGCCTTGTTTAAAGGAATGACATATGTTTTTCCAGAGACTAGGATACAAGGCTGCCTTTGGCTATTTTTCTACATTGTAGACTAAGGATCTCTGAGAGGAAGGAAAAGGAGCATCTGCTATCACCAGTTATATGCCATGTACACAGTGATGTTGTTTTGGAAGGCAGGAGAGTTGAGGTGCTAGTGTCTTTTCTCTCTTGGGTGGGTAAAACCCCAAACCGGACTGAGTATTCCTTTTACCCCGAAGCCCTCAGGCCCAGTGCCTGCAGTGGTTATCAGCCTTTGCCTGCTCCCCCAGCCATCTCCTTTCCAACAGAATTTCTCCTCAATAGCTAGGAATACTAGAGTGGGACCTAGGATGCTTTAGAGGTCAAGTGACCCAGCCTCTGGCCTCCAGGTAGGGGGAAATCTAAGCCATCCCCAAACATCTTCTACATGGTGTTTGTGGAGCATAAGAAACTCTCCCTCTGTGCTGAGGGAGAGTTCTGAGGAATGACTTCTAACTGTGCCACACAGTCCTCCCCAGAACTGGTGTGGAGGCCAGAGGAGCTCTGAGCTGGCCATCGGAGAGCAGGGCTCTATCTCGGCTCTACCTCCAGTATTCTCTGTGTGATCATGGACAAGCCAACTATTCTCTCTGGGCCTGTGTATAAAATGGAAGAAATTACATAAAATAATCCCGAAGGCCCTTCTAGCCTAAAGCTCAGTGACTTTTAGAACCCAAAGAAAGGATAGATCAGCATGCTTACAATGGTCAAGGAAGACTTCCTTCCACAAGTATTTATTGAGCACCTACTGAGTGCTGTCATAGTGCTCATATATAGCAGTGAATGAAACAGACATATTCCCTGCCTTCCTTGGGCTGGCAGTCTAGTGGAGAAGACAGACAAGCAAACAAGTAGTTAGAATAAATTGTGATGTTGGGATTTTAGCTGGGGTCTGAAGGAGTGGGAAGGTCATTCAATCTACAAGTAACAGAAGCCATCCTCTCTCTTTTCTGTCACTACCAGAGCATCCTCCGATTCTTTCCCGACCTGAATCCCTGTTGCTATGGAGACCACCAATGGAACTGAGACCTGGTATGAGAGCCTGCACGCTGTGTTGAAGGCTCTAAATGCTACTCTTCACAGCAACTTGCTCTGCCGGCCAGGGTCAGACAACCTGACTGAGGAGAGGCGGGCCAGCCTACCTGGCCGCGATGACAACTCCTACATGTACATTCTCTTCGTCATGTTCCTATTTGCTGCCACTGTGGGCAGCCTCATCCTGGGATACACCCGCTCCCGCAAAGTGGATAAGCGCAGTGACCCCTATCATGTATACATCAAGAACCGTGTGTCTATGCTCTAATGCTAAGAGGCCGGGGATGGCAGAAGATCAAGATTCCTGAGGATTATCTTGGGGGGCCTCCAGAACTCAGCTATGTGTTACATCAGGCCTCAGTGTTCTAATCTGTAAGATCAACAAGAAACAGTACTAAGGGAGGTCATCACTGGGGAAGGAGGAGAGGATCTAGCAGACCTAGGCCTCGTGGATAAGGATTTTTTCCAGCAAAGATAGACTTTATAGACAGTAGGAGCCCTTTGAACAAATATATAAAAGTGGCAGGAATTCCCTGGTGGTCCAGTGGTTAGGACTCCGTGCTCTCACTGCCAAGAGCCTGGGTTCAATCCCTAGTCGGGGAACTGAAATCCCACAAGCCATTCAGTGTGGCAAAAAAAAAAAAAAAAAAAAAAAATATATATATATATATATATATACACACACACACACACACATATATATGTATATATATATAAAAGTGGCAACATATAATGACAAATGAGTGTTCTAGTGGCCGGAGTGTTGGGGGCTAGGGGCTAGAAAAGAGGAAGTTGTAGCAGAGGGAAATGAGACAGGAAAATGCCCTGAGGACACATTTTTTGATGTGTTATCTTCAATGACCATGAGAAGCAGCAATGATTGTCTCATCACAGACAGGAAATCTAAGTTATGTTACTTATTTATATTTTTTCACATTTTATGTTTTTCAGCCCATTTAACATTTGTGATTTTACCCCCTGTGAGGGAAGCAGAGCAAGTGCCATTCTGCCCATTTGGGCCAAAGCAGTACCATGACTGGAACCCAGGTTCTCTGGTCACCTTGCCTAGTGCTTTGCAAAACTGTGTGCTACCTAGGAGTGGATCTAGGCCTGAAACTTATAATTCTGGGGGGCCCTCCTTAAGAAAAAGAATTTTAAAATATCTTATTTTTGCAAGTATTACAAAAACATATCACCATGTTAATACATTGTTGGGGCCCCTCCTAAGATCTTAAGAAGGAGCCATGCAAGTACAGAGCCCTGACTGTTAAGCCTCATTAGCTCCATGGTCCCTGTGCCCTTCCACCCATGTCCCAGTGCCTTTCCCAGCCCCATCTCCAGTCCTGGGGACTTCACTACCTCTAAGGCAGCCTCTAACATTTTGAATGAATTCTGTGAGTAATTTTCTGATATCAAGTTGAAATCTGCTTCTAGAAGATTATTATCACACCTAGAAGATCACCATATTAAAAGAGGCAGTACCTGATTCAGTGGAAAGAGAACCAGCCCTGATTCTACTACCAGTGTGGTGTATAAACTGGCTAGACACTTCCCTCTCTGACTCTTGTCTTCAGCACCGTGAAATAGAAAGTTGAAATAGTTGAAAGTCTCTAAAGGCTCTACCAGATCTGATATTCTAGGCTTCACATACATTGATTTGAACCACATAAAACTGTTGTGCTTGTAGGTCAAAAACAGCTGAATATCAGTAGTTTCACATGCTTCAGCTGAATACATGAAATGTGGCCAACTACAAATCCCAGGCTGGAACCTCCCACTTTTCTGTTTAATTTCTGTTATTAAGGAATCTCCATGGGGTCTCCAGAAAGCCCTATCAAAACACACATATTTGTGTATATCAAAAACTTTGAAAGCATATTTTGAGAGCACTTATCTCTGAAGAGAAGGATTATGGGTGATTTTCCCTTTCTACTTTAAAAATTTATGTAATATTTGATTTATTTGACCATAAGTATGTTTCTTATATAATAAGCAGGGGGGGGGGAAGCTACTTTTACTTTGAAAAAATGAAAATAAACACCTGTGTGTTACTTGAATGGAGGATCACAGAACACATTTGCTCCCATGAGCAGTTAGTTATGTTGATTCCACGCAAATCAGTGCTGAGCCCCAAGCGTGCTCTCGAGAGAGAAGGTGGAGACCTGCTTAAGAAGACGTGACATATGGATGGACAAAAGACTCGGAAGTCTACAGCTGGATGGGACTTTGGAGACCGCCCAGCCCAAACACCCAAATAAAATATGGAATCCCAACAAGAATAAGAATGAATGTCAGGTAATGGATGCTATCAGGATTTTGAGAAATGAGATTGAGTGGATGCAGAGGAGCCAGAGAAAGGTAGAATTTGAACTGGGCTTTGAGAGATAGGACAGATCTACGTGGGCAGAGAGAATGAACGGAACAAGACAAGGGAAACTTGGAGGCAGAAATGTGGCAAGACCACCCTCCTGAAGAGAGCAGGTCAGCGGCTGGATGGAGCAGGAAGCAGCTCAGAGTGGCTGCGCTGGGAGTTCAGTGTCCCCATCTATGGGGGAGAGTCCCCTTCACACAGTCCTTATGCTCACAGGGCTCAAAAATAGAGTAATACAAATTCTTTTGCTTGTAAGTTACAGAAATCCAGTGTGTATTAGCATAAGCACAAAAGGGGATTTATTGAGAGGAGTATGGGGTAGTTCAAAAGAGGAGCTACCGGGGCTTCCCTGGTGGCGCAGTGGTTGGAAGAGCCCACATGCCATGGAGTGGCTGGGCCCGTGAGTCATGGCTGCGCGTCCGGAGTCTGTGCTCCGCAAGGGGCTCAATATACCTCATTATGTGCACTCAACGTTGGGCTAAATAAAAATATAAGATTTTAAGGTATAATTTAAACATTCTAATATTTTATGATGTAGTACTCCCCTTGGCTTTCCCCCCAGCTCTATCCCACTACCTCCTTCAGCCCATAGGCTCTTTTGGCTGCACTGGTTCTGCCCTCTGCTGGCCAGATCCCAGCACATCATCTTGGGCCCTCAAAGCAAAACTTCAATAATCACTCATTCAGACGCTGAGTGCCTACTATGTGCCATGGACTCATCTAGGCACACTTGGAATACAAAAACAAATGAAAAAGAGCAAAGAAATCCCTGCCTTAATACTTAAAAGCACTTAATACTTAAGATACTACATGTCAGGCTACGGCCTAAGCATTTTACAGACATTAACTCATTTAGCTTTTAAAACCTTCATAACATCCCTATGTAGCAGGTGTTCCTTACAACTACTTCAGTAGAGCCCACCTGTTCTTCACATAGCTCCTTCCTCACTCTCAGCCCAATTTCAGCACCATGGCATACCCAGCCCAGACCATGGGTCTGAACGGTCCCCGGAGATGATTTGGGAAGATGACGGCAGAGTATTGACATCAGTAGACTGAAGTTGGGTTCCCTAGAAGCAAAGTCTGAGACAGGCATTTATTGAGGGAGCACTCTTTGGGGGAGACGTGCAAGGGAAAGAAATTAACCT